CCTGCTCAAGCAGAGTCACCTAGAGCAGGTTATCCAGAAGACTTTGGAATATCTCCAGGGAAGGAGACTCCACAACCTCTCTGGGCAACCTGCTCCAGTGCTCTATCACCCTCACAGTAAAAAAAAATTTTCCCTAGATTCAGAGGGAACTTCTTGTGTTTCAATTTGTGCCCATTTCCTCTTGTCCTGTCGCTGGACACCGCCGTAAAGAGTCTGGCTCCATCTTCTTTATACCCTCACTTAAGATATCTATACACATTGCTAAAATCCCCCCGCAGTCTTCTCTTCTGCAGGCTGAACAACCCCAGCTCTCTCAGCCTTTCCTCCTAGGAGAGACGCTCCAGTCCCTTAATCGTCTTAGTGGCCCTTCCTTAGGCTCTCTCCAGTAATGCCATGTCTCCCTTGTCATGGGGAGCCCAGAACTGGATCCAGCACTGCAGGTGTGGCCTCACCAGGCCACCAGGGCTGAGCAGAGGGGAAAGATCACCTCCTTCAACCAGCTGGTAATCCTATTCCTCCTGCACCCCAGGATACCATTAGCCTTCTTTGCTGGTACATTGCTGGCTTACGGTCAACTTGTCCACCAGGACTCTGAGGTCCTACTTTGCAGAACTGCTCTCCAGCAGGTCAGCCCCCAGCCTATACTGGTGAATGGGGTTATTCCTCCCTGCGTGCGGGACCCTGCACTTCCCTTGATTGAACTTGGTTCATGGGGTTCCTCTCTGCCCAGCTCTCCAGCCTGTCGAGTTCCCACTGAGTGGCAGCACAGGCCTCTGGTGTACCGGTTCTGTATCAGCAAACTTGATGGGGTGCACTCTGTCCTATCATCCAGGCCATTGATGAACATATTGAAAAAGACTGGACAACCCCTGGTAAGTATTGACCCCTGGGCACATCACCAGCTACAGGCCTCCAACTAGACTTCACACCACAGTTTACTCATCAGAATTACTTAGTCCTTTCCAAGATTTGTGCTAGACTTCAGGGACTCAAGCTAGCTTATTAACTGGCCATGCAGATATGTGGTAGAAACGTATCTGAGGAAGATAAGGAGACTTGTTTGCTACCCATTGTGAGTGTCACTTGCTGAAAAACTGGGGCAATGTGTGGTGTCATCCAGTACCTTCATATGCAGAGTTTGTGCAACATTATACCATACACAGAGGGAAACTGTGCTGAAAGGTTATTCCTGAACTTGGAAAGCCAGGGGCTGCCAAAATGAAGCTTTGTTCCCCCTTCTGTATGTGTTATGACTTAGTCTTGCATTGCATAATCGTTCTGGTAGAGCAAGCTGAATGCAGGTGGAATCTTCAGAGAATTGCGCTGGCAATCTCCAAAATGTCTCTTAAGCATGTGCAAGCAGCAATTTCTTTCTCAGAAAACAACTTGTGTCAGTTTGGGGGCTACTTTTCCACAAAGATATTAGATGCCCACTTCAAATATACTGGTGATTCACAGGTCGAAACTTCCTGCTGCACAGCTCCGAGATGCTACACTTGCAAAAACCAAGCAAATGTGGCTGCAACATACTTTTTTCCTCATCTCGTTTTCTGAAATAACACTCGTTTTCACTGAAACAGCTTGAGAAGAATAACCTGGCTGGAGAATTTCAGGATGAAGCAGTAATAAGTTTGATAAAGATTTAATTTGTTTAAATTAAAACTTAGGCACTTATGACTAAAACTTATGGCTTAAGGAGCATGAAGAACAATAAGTTTGGTTTGCTAAGCGTGTGTGTCTAAGGGAAAGTTTGCTTTCATTCCCTTTGGGTGTTGCGTACAAGTAGTAATAAAATCAAGCCCAGCAGCAGCACTTTGCCTGGCACTATTTAAACTGCAGTGCCATTGATCTGTGCTTTGATTTGTTTTGCATATGGTTTGGTTTTGCTTATTAGGTACCTGAAATCAAGAAATTGCCAAATCAAAATCAAATTGTCCTGAAATTGGCCTGGCTTAGCAAAAAAAGTTTATGAAATCCCTGCAGGTTCTCTGAACTGGTACAAGCTGTGAGGTTTTGATTAAGGTGAAAACCAGATAAGTTTTACTTTAAAAGTCTCGTGTTAAAATTTTGTAATAATACTTTATCCAGCTCAGTTCACCTGCCTTTTTGGAATCTGTGGCTGTAAGACTGGCTTAAGTACATTTACTGTTTATGATACAATGACATGATTTTCAGAACCCACAGTGAAGGTCATCGGAATGTCTGTCAAATGTAGTTTATTGGATTGGGTTTAGATTAGTTTAAATTGATTTTAGTGTATTATTAAAATGTACCAACTGGTAAAGTATTTGCATGCTGCTAAGCTGAAGATCTGATTCTGCTTCCTTTTACGTGAGTTCACAAAGAAAGGAGAAAATATGGAATGCTTTCAGAATCCCTTCCTTTAGGGCCACAGACATCTCCTGAAACCACCAAGAGAAGGTTGGGCAGTGGTCCCATAATTGCTCTTACTCTGACAGACTGTGGCTAATTAGGAGAGTGACAATTACGTAGGGAGGTTTCTAGTCCATAGCGTAGTAGCGCAGCACTTTTGGAGGTGCTCGAGTACACCTCGAGTACAAACATATTCAGGGAGTAAATAGCACTGCCAGACTGAAAGGACGCAATGGACAGAATTTTGTGGGGCATGACCTGCTCAAGTTCTACTAAGTATTGCTTGTCAGAAATGCTCTCTATTCCTTCTTATAAAATGAATAATCCTTTAATTTGTAGATGGCAGCAGGGTAGATGAGGCGGTTGGCAGTTTTTGAGGCAGGATGGACAAACTGAAGTGATCATTGAAAAGTGTAATAAGGGAGAAAAGTGATTTCGGTAGGGACAAATGTAGAATGTTATTCTGGGGAAGAAATAACCAGCAGCCTAAATGCTAGCTGAGGAGAGAGGAGCAGTAAATCACAGATGGCCCTTAGGATTCAATGGATGAAAACATCAGATGGTTTTAAAACATGTCAAATCATGCACGTTACCTCAGACTTGCAAGAAAAACAAAAATGCATTACCAACTGAAAAGCAATTGCTGTTCTGGGAGGTACCAATAGAAATGTTGCCCGTAAGACCCAGGAAGCACAGTATAAATTGTCCTTGGGTTGGTAAGGCTACTGCTGGAATAGTATGTCCAGTCTGGATACTATACCTCAAGTAGGATGTAGACCAATTGGTAAGAATTCAGAGAAGAGCAACAAGAATAGCCAGGAAAAAACAACAATAACAACAACAAACATGGATTAAGAGGAAAGAATGCAAATTGTATTTTGGCCTAAAAGAAGAGAGGGTGTCCACTAAGATGAAATGCCAGAAGAGTATCCACTTCAGTAAAAGGTTGCTGTAGAGAGGAAGAATCCGTTCCCTCTTCCTATTGGAAACAGGACAAGAAATGACTGCAGCAGGGAGACTCTGGACAAGCGAGAGTGCTTACTACTCTTTACGGTAGACTGCCTGTGCAAAGTCTCCATCACTGAAGGTTTCTAAGAACAGGCTAAACATATAGACGTACCGTTGTCACAGGTGACATCCTTGATTCAGTGGGCTGAAGTGAATGACCTTTCCAGCTTACTGTAATATTATTGTAGAAGCTGTCTTTATTGCTTTGCCCATCTCTCCCTTTTGCTTTCTCTACAAATACTGTGTGATTATGAAGACGGATAAAATGCTGGCTCCAGTGGAGTCATTGGCAAATCTCACAGCTTCTCTCCCTCTTTACTCTTAAATGTTTACGGCCTTAGTCTCCGCTGGTAGGAAGTAGTGCAGTGATGCTGAAATTAAATGAGTTGATAGTCTGGACTGTTAATTTTTAATGAAAACCACTAGATTTTACAGTAAGTGTCCCTCATATTGAAGTAATATGCTTTGAAGTGATGTTTTCTCACTTATCCAAGCCACATTCGCTGCTAATGACCTAGCAGAGAAATAAGAGTAGAACTTAAGTGTACAAAGGACAAGGCATTTTGATTTTTTAGGAGGAATCTGTTGTGCGTAAGCTATTTGCACAGAATAAAGCAAGCCAAGTGTTGTAGTCACATTTGTTTCTCTGTCTTTAATTGGCTGCCTTGTTAAACTTTATAGCCGTTTACTGGCTTTGACTTGACATGCAATCCTTGAATGCATGGTGCCACGGGAAACTTTGGTGGTAATTATCACTTTTGGAGTTCCATTTTCCATGTGGAAAATTACCGTTTTGAAGACTGCTCTTCTCTCTAGGCCTCATTTTCCTAGTGCAGTTATGCAGGCAGTAAAGATAAAGTACCTGACTGCAGGAGAGATGCTCAAGGTAATGTTTAGGGAAGCAAGTGACGGCATGCATGGTGACTCTTCGGAAACTTTTTGAACAGGAGATGTATCCAAATTCTTTGCTTTTGATTTGTAAATTGTTAGCTTGGCAAAGGGTTTAGCCTCAGTAAAAATTTGTTTTTAACCAGTCACATGCTGCCATCTGTTTCTAAAACCTGTTCAACTTCCCCTCTACAGGGAGAGGCTTATAAAGCGTCAGCAAGCGTAGTTTCTTTCTTCTTTTGTGCTGCACATCAGGTGCCTGAGCTGCATTGTTTTCAAGATTCCTGTTTCAGACAGCATCTCTTCCATCTCCTGCCTTCTCCCTCATACCCATGTACATGTATGTCCACATGTATGTACATCCTTGTAGACGTATTCTCTGTCCATATACATATGTTATCCGATTGCTTGTGGACTTACTGTAGGTAAAAAAATCTTCTCCATCTGTCTTTCCGGAAGTGAACACAGTCACTGTTTTGTTTTCTGGAATTGCTGTGGATTTTGCTTATAAGAGTAGGAAAAGGTAGATGGAAAGTGGGAAAGAAAATATGGAAATACAGAATTCCCTGGTCTGTGGCCAGATAATCACTGTAGAAGCTTTAACTACTTATATCAGCTTCGTCATGTAAAAATCTTCTACTGTAGGTTTGAGAGAGCTGTTTTCAGTTGTGTTCAACTGATTCTTTTTGTTGATCTGCCAATCTCTACAATTTTTCCGATTTTCTTTTGAGCAAAATAACCCTTAATAAGATAGCAGTTTTTGTTACGTTACCCGTTACAAACTCTTTGGAATTTGTTCGTGGAGCAGATGCTGAAAAACACGGCAATGAGAGTGGGCATGCCACCATTTGCAGCACATTTGCAGCACGTTTGCATGGTGGGGTTTGGTGAGCTGCTCGCTTGCTCCTGAATGGTCAAACAAGTTTGGAGCCGAATGACATTTATCTGGTGAACAGCAAGGCAACATGGACTGAACTGTCAGCTTACATACATCAACATCACTCTCTTGACTTTGAGACAGTTGGCAGCATCTGAAGTTTCATCCAAGGAACAAATTCTGCGACGGATTTTCAATGTTTGTGTTACCCGTTCAAACTGCAGTCTAAATAGGGTTGCTAAAGCACTGATCAGGATCTTTGCTGTCTGTCATACAGGTGATCAGTGTGAAAATATCTCTTTTCAGATCATGTGATGATTTCACAGCTGTTATTGGGCTGACTGTGGGCATCTGAAGTCTGAGTCAGTGTTTGGCCTTGTGTAATCACTGCTTCTGTTTGCAGATGGTTTATCTTTGTTTATAGTGGGTGGTCTTGCAAAGGCTTAGTCAAGCTGTATAACCCAAATAAAAGGAGCTGCATCGTGGAAGACAGTAGTGTTTAGATCAACCACTGCTAAGCGTTTGCCTGAGATGTACCATTTCGTTTTGTCTTCCAGCAAATATTGCGGCATGCCCGTGGAAATGCCACAAAGGTGATATTTCTTATTACTGATGGCTATTCCAATGGGGGAGACCCAAGACCCATTGCAGCATCCTTGCGTGAATTTGGAGTGGAGATCTTCACCTTCGGCATATGGCAGGGGAATATCCGAGAACTGAATGACATGGCTTCCCATCCAAAAGAAGATCATTGTTACCTTCTTCACAGTTTTACTGAGTTTGAAGCTCTGGCACGCAGAGCTCTTCATGAAGGTATTGATGTAGTAATCTCAGAAGTCCCACAGAGAGCAAAGGTCTGAATAGAAAGATCTGTAATACTGTCTTTGTATTACATTTCATGTAGTGGTGATTCCTTATATTGTTATTGTTCCTCTCACTTTCCAGAAGAGGTGTTCATTCTTCAGGTGAAAGGATAAACAGTTTGTGACGAACTCACAGTCAACAGAATATGAGCTAAATTCTCCTCTTTAGTGTATGCCCACAAACCACAAACATGCATTCAGTTCTTCATTTTGCCTGAGAAGGAACAGACTGAGCTCTTGGGCCAGTATAACTGTTGTGTGAATACATGATACTAGCAGTCAAATCTATGGTTCTCCAAAAGACTAAGAAGCACCTAATACAGATCTCAGGCCTATACTCAGTGCCTTTTGGTGTTTAGGAACAAGAGCTAGCCTATTCAAAGTCTTTCAGATCTCTTTGTATGAAGATAAATGCAATTTCTTTTTGGTCTTACACATTGAGTCAAACTGGAAAGATCTCGGAAAAGAGTTTGGACTGGGTTTTTTATCCTTTTTTACCTCCTTTACTCTAAAAAAAAAAAATTCTCCCTGAAAGCAGAAGAGGTTTGGACTAGCAAGTGAGAAGCATGGCTAGAAATATGACAACATATGGTCTCATGGCTAATGGCTTCATCGGTAAGCCACTGCTTCTTGAATGAGACTTAGTACGAGCATCAGGCTAGCCGTTAATATCATTTGCTGTATTTAATTTTGAAGAGCGTGCTACTGTTACATACGTACTGTGTTTTACTGCCATTCTGTTTGTTCCAGGTAAGGTGTAATTGTTTTGTGGGAGTGTGCCAAAGTAAAGGAGTTTTTTTTTTTTTCTTTTTTTTAAACATAACCAAACTGATTAGAAATCCCATGAACCAATGCCCTCATAGACCAAGAGAGAGCACCCACCTAAGCCAGGGGTGACTGTCTCAGGAGATCCTGTAAGGAGTGAGACTGGATTCCTGCATCTCTTGCATTAATTAGTTCTTGACTCATACAAAACCAAATGAAAGACTTTGGAGATGTTTGTGCCATGGGTTCCAGTAAAGCTTTTTCTAGAATAAGAACACCAAGTTTTTCTGTACTTTTTGTGAAGCAAGGCTGCCATCACTATTGCTTAGGACTCAAAAAATAAGTTTTTAAGAAACTTTTCACTAGTTAAGTATTGCAAAGCTGGGAGGGGGAAGGGTTGGGTTGGATTTTTTTGTTATTAAACTGATATATTTCAGACCTGCCCTCTGGCAGTTACATCCAAGAAGATATATCCCATTGTTCATACCTCTGTGAGGCAAATGAAAACTGCTGCGACGTCATGGCAAGTTGTAAATGTGGCACTCACACTGGCCAGTTTGAGTGCATCTGTGAAAAAGGGTACTATGGGAAAGGACTACAGCATGAATGCACAGGTGAGTCACATGTCTCTGTGCATGGGTTTCTCTGTGTGCCCTGAGTATATGGCTAGTCCAGTTGAGGGAGATCAGCTGTGTTTGGATTTAGGGCTATGAACCTGGATCAGAATACATTTGGGGCTCTGGGAAAATTCTCACTGGCTAAGGACAAAGAACAGCTGTACCTGTTGATCTTACCCCCTTACTTATCTTCAGCAGTAGCCAAAAGAGGGGCACAGGGAAGAGATAAGAAAAGAGCAAAAGTTCTTATATATAACACTTCCCTAAAATGCTACTCACCAGCAATTTGTGACTCAGAATTTATTGAGTCCGAGATGATGTCTTTTGTGTTTAAGAGCTCTTAGTAAATTTTTCCTTCTTGAATTTTGCTGATTACTTTTTGAACTTCCATAGACTTTCCTGTTTGGAAAAGGACTGTATACGTGGATCTTTGTTACATAAGTCTTTGGTGAAAGTTGCAGTCAACTAAACATTCTTCAATTGTCTCGTGTTGACTTAAGAGGACGAAGGCCTTTGGGTCATTGAGTAGAAATTTGTCATCACGTTTGGCTTCTAGTAGTACTTATTTGAAGTCTACAGCCAGAAGGACTGCAGTGGCAGTTCTCTATTGCATGTCAGAATAAAAATATGGAGGTAAAAAGTCTGACTTTCTGAGTTCCCTTCAAAGTCATTTTGTAAGTGGAGATGAAGGAAAGACTATATAACTTGACCTTGAACTTCAGTTTATTTATTTTAGTCATAAATAGACAGAATTTCCCTTTGGAAATGAAAAGGGAAGTTGAGCCGCTGGTCTTCAATGGAATTGTCTTTCAGCTCTGGGAGCTAGTGGATGCCTTTTTTAGTAACAAGTATTAGTCAACTGTGGTGGGTATATGCATATGTAAGGGTTGCGAGGGCCATGTTGCTTTTTCAAATGTGGTTTTCATTACATATAGAGGTCTGTTGTTGTAGCTGTTACTAACTCTACTCAGAGAAGAGGCACAGGTAGGTATGTGAATTAAAGCTGAAGAATGCCTTCAGGGAAAGTTTTACCAGAAACTGCGATGGCTGTGAGTCTGCACTAGGAAGAATAAAAGGGTGCAGTGAGGGATGCAGATTATACCTGAACATAAGATGAAGCAGAGGTGTTGTCTGTCACCAGTGAAAAAAAGTACTGAGATGCCACGGTATTTGTATTGGGGAGATGATCAATTGCCTTGTACTCCTTGCTGATCGTCGTCCTGTTACTCAGCGTGTACCTGTGAAGTGTCTTTCCTTTGATCTACAGGGAAGCAGGTAAGTATAAAGGAATCTGTTGAGTTTTGAGTGCAGGATGAACAGAGGGATGCAGTAGAGTCAACGTCAGCACTGGCACATTCAGGCAGATTCTCATCTTTTGTAGCAATGGGTGCAGCTTCCTTGTGTGCTCACTTAACTTTAAACCAAGATATGCTATTCTGCTTTCTTATTTTCAGATGTAATTCCTATTGATTTTAAACAAAATTAAACCTTAATCTTAATTTTTGTTTTAGAATTCTAGTCCACTTCCTCCACCTCAGCATAGGCTCCTCATTAGTCTGTTGAACAAAATAAGCTCAGCACTTGTATCTTGAGTGATAGCGTACATCATTAGATACTGTTTTAACCTCTTCCTGAAGGCACCTGGACTATCATTATAGAGTTAATGTTACCCTTGCTACACAAAAGGAGCTTCTTACAGGAGAAGCTTACCTTTAGAATGCCACCAAAAATGATAAAATTCTGTGACTTCTTTAAATGTGGATTTGGCAGCTGCAAAGGTAAATTATGTTTTGATATCATCAGCAGGTGCCTGTAAAATAAGTCTTTAAAAGTGTTTCATATTAGATACAGTGGAAATGAACTGACAACTGCAGCCATCTGCTGTGTAAATGAAGATAATGAAAGATGCCTACATATTAGTTTAGGGAGTATTTGACCAGAATAATGCAAGTCTGTTTTTGTAAATTTGTCTGCTCTGCTCAACTGCCATATCCTTCGTTAAGACAGACAGAAACAAAAGGCAACATGTATTCATTAAAGGAAAAACAACATATTTTGAAATCTTGTGTTCTGAAAAAGAGTCCAAACTTTTTTAAAAAAAAAAAAAACATTTGCCAGCTGAGCATAGCTGTGGATTTGTAGAGCATGAGGAATCTGCAGAATGCATCGTAACTTTTCTTCACTGCATAATGTGCAGGGGCGCTTCTGGCAAGTTTACATTGACAGGACTTACATTTTACTGTGATTAATTTACTGTGATTAATTGGACTGCTTTTAGCTTTTGAATGGTTAAGCTTGCAAATACCATACTAGCCCATGTTTATTTAATGCAATAAGGCTTATTTTTGAGAGTTTTCATCAAGATAGGAGCTTGTTCCCTTTCTGTAAGAAGTACGTTCTTTTTGTAATGGTTATTTTCTGTATACCTTTGTGGTTATGCGTTATGCCACTCTATGTTGTTTATGTTCTAAATGTGAGGCACCAAAATGACTATGTGGAGATCATAACAACAGTACTTTTCTTTCCTAATTACCTGAAAACACCCTCTAGAAAGCTTCTCTAAAATAAAATAGGAGCCACATGCTTTGTGTTGGAGAGCAGAAATTGGCTCTCAACGTCCCCCTCCTGTTCTTTGTTAATGATGATGATGTGCCATGGAAAGAACAGACTGACTGTTCTCTACTTCAAAAAACAAATCGAACAAAAGAATAGTGGCCCACTCGAGGAACCTCTTGCAGCCAGAGACTTGTGACAAAGGAAGCAATGGGGAGGCAAAGTGTGAAGCAAGCAGTGTGATATACAGGGAGGAAGAGGAAGAAGACCAGAGGTAGTATCACAACCAGTCCTGAGTATTGTAGTGTATGTAAGTATCTTCTTTTCAAACAAAGCTTCACTTCTTTTCTCCTTCCTTTCCTTGATTACTAATGGCAGGTGTCAAACTACAGGCAACCTAGCAAAAATACAGAGATAGCAAAAACAAATTTGTAATTTCTGTGATCTAAGGCAGTGACTTCTATTCCATCAGGAGTAAGGTGGGCTGTTAAAGTCAGTGGCAAATATGGTGCCCATCATGTTTGTCTCATCGATTACCAGCTAAGCAGAACCCCAAATTTTGGGGAGGGCATGGAACTGTTGTCTTGCAACCAGTGTTTTCTTTTACCTAAAGCAGAGGCCCCCTTCTCTGTAGTATGAGCTATCCCTAAAGGTGATGTGTAATTGGCAGGGCAGAAGTGGTGGATAACAGCCTATGCTGTTATTCTTTTTTTGGTTTATTTTTGGTCTACTACTTGTGTATAATTATAGAAGTGTAGAATTTGACCACAGGTATGACTATTCAAGAGGCTGCTTCCGCTTTCTGTTTTTTAGGAAGATGCAGCATATTGATCAGGTTTGTAGAGAGTCTTTCCAGTAAAATCTGAAATCATGTGAAACTTTGACTCTTTGTACAGATTTTAACTCAGACTAGAGTCGCTTAAAAGACTAAAAACTCTGAGGAAATACAGGTCCAGTGGGGGACATCTGCACTGTATATTTTGTGCTTCTCAAATTTTAGACTAAATTTTCAGATGAGCTTTTTTTGCCATGAAATTTTCAGGATTGTTCCAGTAGAGAATGCAAAGCAAAATCTGATGCTCATAAGCTGTAAAGCTTTATTAAAAAAAAAAAAAAAAAAACACTTTTTAATAATTTTTTATTTTTGAAATTTATATTATTTTAAATTTATTCATATTAAAAATCTCCCACGTGGAGCCTTCTGCTGTAACAGATGCTTTTTAGTTTTGTGATAATGCACTGACGTTCTAATGTGAATATGCTGTGTTAACGTGACTAGCTTGTCATGAAAGGAGAAGAGAAAACAAGAAAGCAGGGATCTCAAACAAAGAATGCAAAATACCCATGACTAAGCAACACTGAATCGATGCTTGATTATTATTAGCAAGAATGTTCCATGCTGTCATCCTTTATTTTTTTCTTATAAATCTTGCTTGACTTTTTATGGATACCGGTTTGTACATAACATTGTCATGGATAAACACAGAAGAAATGTAAATGGATGTGTTTCTCTAGGGAGGATATCCTAACATTGTGATGGATAAGTACAGAAGAAATTGATGTGTTTTTCTAGTGAGAGTACTGAAAGATAAGTGAATGAGGGAGGTGGGTACAGATAATGACAAGTGATACAGACAAGGATATGGAAGGTCACTAAGTTAATTTTTTTCACAAAATCTTTTTAACGCTCCATAAGAGAATTTGAAAACTTAGATTAATTTTTGTTTGCTTAAAGACTGAAGGAAATGGCATTTATAGCTATTTTGTTTGGAAAAAAATAAAACAAATCTGGAAGCATATGCGGTCACATTCTTCCAGAGGTTTTACACTGAGACCTGCTTTCTCAAAAATTCAAAGTGTATCTTTTTGACAAACGTTTGACCCTAAAGCCCAACATTTCCTACTTTGCTTTGGCAATTCGTGTATAGATTCTCCTGCTCATCCCCATAGAAAGCAAAGCAAAAGCTAAGAAAGATAGGATTTGGATGCTGTACGATCTTCTGAAATGGAGCACACACTAGAAATACATTCCTTTGGTTGGGTAATTTTAAAAGCTAGTATTAAAATTTAAATGCCAATAAATTGTTTTTTATCAAGAATAGTTTTTGGTAGGAGTGACTCTGGCAGAAATGAATGGTAACTTACATGATAACTTCAGCAGTTTTGCTTGCTTTGTAAATGGTTTCTGATACCAAACCCAATTTGCTTCCCATCTTCCTCTTGTGAAGATGGGACATTTTTGACAGTAGAAACTTCTTTTGCTGAGTTTACTCCTTGAAGCCTTATATCCTTGTATCCACAGAGTGAAACAGAAAAGATTGTTCTAGAGTAGAGCGTGTATGAAGTGGTGACAGATTTTGTCAATTACTGAAGTATTCCTTGTGGTAAAATAAAACCTTTATGATATGCTTTCTTCAGGTGCAGTCTTTGAAAGGAGACGGTAG